CCGGAGGGAAGGGACCGGACTCCCCCGCCTCCCTCCCCTCCCCCCTCCCCTCCGGGGACCTCGAGGGGCTGCCGGGCGGGGGGGGGGGCAGCCTGTCCGCCCCTCCTCTCCCCGCCGCCGCCTTTTTAAAACCGGGCCTCGCCGAGGCACCTCCAGCCGTGCGGCGACCCACGCGGGAAGGGCGCCCGAGGCCCCGCCGCGGGGTTCTTCTTGCTGGCGGCGGACCCTCGGTGCGGCTTTCCGGGCAGAGAGATGGCAGCCTGGCCCGGTGGGTGGTGCCGGGTTCCGGGCGGGCCGGAGGGTCTCTTCCCTTCCCCTCGAAGCAACTTCCCGGGTCCCTCCTGCCCCAAAGCCGGGCGGCGCTCCTCTGGGCCGCGTGCCCTGGCCGAGCCGCCTCTCCTGAAGGGGGGCAGCGGAGGTGGGGGGGCAGGCTGGGGTCTGGGGGGTGGTGGAGAGAGGGCCACTGCCGCCTCGCCCCCGCCCCCCCTTTCCGCCCTGCCCGGCTGCAGGGGCTCCTCTCACCGCCTGCTGCTCTTCCCGATTCCCTTCCCAGCCTCGAAGGCGCCGCCGGAGCCCATGGAGAGCGAGACCCCCACCAGCAACTCTTCCTCCTCCTCCTCCTCCTCCTCTCACGGCCCCCTCGGGGTCACCCTCGAAGACCGGGAGCTGTGGGCCAAGTTTCACCAAGTGGGGACAGAAATGATCATCACCAAATCCGGGCGGTGAGTTCCCCTCCGGCGCGCTCTGGTCCCCCGACGGCTGTCTTTCCAAAGACGACTCCCGAACCCGCCCCCCGCCCGCCACCCTCAGGGTCGCAGGGCAGTCGGCCTCAGGTCCCCTCTCCTCCTGGGGACACAGCGGAGGGGGGGCGGGAGACGATGCCTGGGGGGGCCCGCGCTCCTAGAAGCACCTCGGTCTCTGCCTTTGACCCCAGAGGATGAGCGTCCTGGCTGGGCTGCAAGTTCCACCTGCGGCACACCAGCAGGTCTGGTGAGAAGTGGGGAGACCCTCTGGGCAGCTGCTCCCAGCCTGTGGAACTCCCTGCCACGGGAGACCAGCTGAGCCTCCTTTGGCCTCCAGGGAAAATCTATCTCAGGAACGCGGGCTGTTATAGGGCCTTAACTCGCCACCCCTGCCCGACTTCTGTCTCCCCCCCCCTTCCCTCTCCGGCAGGTGGATGTTCCCACAGTGTAAGATCAAAGTCACGGGTTTGCTTCCCGGCGCCAAATACCTGTTGCTGGTGGACTTTGTGCCCCTGGACAACTTCAGGTACAAGGTAAGGCTCTCCTTCTCCGGAGGGGCTGCCGACACGGCTCCCCCGCCCCCGCCGGCAACTCCGCCCCAGGTCTGTGCGCTCCTCCTTGCAAGAGGCCACCGATATGCATAAAGCAGCCCCAGCCCCGGGAGGGCTGTGGGGAGTGTCCGCCCCCCCCAGGCAACAAAAGCCGTCTCTGGCAGCTGAGGACGGCTGTGCCCCCTGGATCTCCCAACACTCCCCCCTCCCCGCTGGGGCGCTTTTCCTGCTGCATGGAGGGGGGGCGCTTCCTCCCTCTCGCGCCAGCTCCACTTTGAACGTGTGGGGGGGGAATGGGGAGGGGGTGGCTCTCTGGACAGCCCTGGCCAGATCCAGAGGTGACCAGAAGGAGGCACTTTGGCGTGCAGGCAGCCCGTTCACCCGGTGGGACCTGCTGAACCTTTGGAAACGCCGCCGCCGCCGCCGTCGCTGCTGCTGGTGGTGGTCCTCATGTCTGCTGC